GCCTTGGTGCTATATTAACCAAACAGTTAGTTAACAGTGGTGCTGAAGGGTGTTTCTAAACATCTGTTTTAATACTAGCACAGTGAAGCTCAGAATAGGCATTGTTTCAAGAGCTTGAGAAGGGGCCACAATGATTCTGCATGTTATCCAGAAAACAAATCTTATTTGCTTGTCTTGCATGAACTACCACATGAAGAAGCAGATGGCTGCAGCTGATGATACTACTATTATTAATGTTATAGACATCTGCAAAAAGTATTTATAAAAAATCTTTAAACAGTCCATTAAAGAAAAGCAAATGTTTGCCTTCACTGTATGTTAAAAGAGAACTGATTTAACAATATAGGCCAGATCCTATAAAAAAAAAAAAAAAAAAGCAAATAAAAATACATACAAAATGGGGAGCTCCCTAGAGATAGCCAGTAGAGATACTAAGTATAGGAGCGTACCTGAAATTCAGTCACTCTCTACAACTTAGCTTTTTCAGTCAGGTCTGTAAGACAATCTTCCTTATGCATTCAGGATTCAGCTCTCCATAAGGTTTTCACTAACAGCTGTAATATGTATTAATAAGCAGTATGCACGTCCACCTTCATAAAACATATTCAAAATGCAAAGTTGAACCTTAACTTTGTGTAGTTTTGTTTCCAGTATAGGTATACATGCTCCATACATTTGGAAAGTTTTTTTGCCTTAATTCTTGTCAATGGGAATGTGTTTTTTAATGTTGTCTTCTGAAGTTAAAGTGTTATAAAGCACTGGAGTGGATGTAGACAATGCTCTAAAAATGATTGTTGCAGAGAATTGCTGTTTGCTTTCTTTTGCCATTTCTTTTTGAGATTTTGGGTGTTCTAAAGTAGCTTAAAATGTTATGAGCTATAGTTCTTGGTTTTTGCTGCTTTCTTTCTGTGCAGTTTTGTGACTGTTTGCACTTTGTTCCTTTTCAGGTCTGCAAGTAAAAACCCTCAGGCATTTTTACCTGCCTAGGGTGGAATTTTTCAGTTCTCTCTGCTGTAAACCAGGATATGCACATAATACCCCTGTGATGCAGCCTGTGACAAATTACCTATGGCAGATCATTTCAAAGCACCTAACATCTTAAATATACATTTGGACTCATGGAGCTAGGGTCACAACTTAGGGCCTTGTTACACCTTACACTGTGAGCTGCACAAATGTTGATTGGCTTAGTGTAGCTTGCAGTCACCCCTTCAACTTGAGTGGCACATCTGTGGGGAGTGGCCACATCCTAATAGAACAGAAACTGTGTTATGCAGATCAAGAGATAATCCTGCCCTTGAGTGATGTAATTTTAAGCCACTTAGGGTGCATCTACACGTGCATTTAAGCACAACTAAATTTAATGCATAGTAAACTAATGCACATTAACAGATTTTTGGCAGATGTCTACATGTGCAGGCACTTGGTACTAAAGTTACTGCAGCCCTGCCACGTGCCCCTAGTGGCTGGGCAGACCTGGCACTAAAGTTAGTGCCGGGTCATGTCTACATGTGCATTAATGAACTTTAACTAATCATGCCTAAATTTGATACCTACATTTGCAGATATCAAATTTAGGTGTGATTAGCCTACTTTCACCATTTTTAATGGGCATTAAGGGTGTGCACGTGTAGATGCATGCCCACAATGCACATGAAATTAGGCTAATGTGCATTAATGCGTCTCATGTAGATGTGCCCTTATTGGTGTTAATGTGTCAACAATCCAGGAGTTAAGAGCTCCAGGAGCCGCCCAAAATTAATTTATACTTTTGTTGTTGTTGTTATAATGTTGCTCGGTAGAAGCAATATAAAAGATGGTAGCAGGTTTTAGGCACTGTGTTCCCTAGTAGAATTTACAACCTTGGGTTAGGCCCGTTGGGTAGATCCTATTTTACCTTTTAATTGTGTAATGTGTAACTTCTAGCAGAGTTCTGATGTAAATGGCCAGAGGCAGGGAGGTATCCTATTTCATCTAAGTAGACACAGAATTCTCCTGTATTTTAAATGGGTATAAGTAAATACCTCACAAGCTGTTGAAGGCACATTTTATTTCACCCTCCTTTCACATTTGTTTCAATAGGTAGCACTTAGATATTTCCAGAGATGGATCCTCCTTACATGGAAAATGCATGGCTCTCCACTTACTCCACTGGGGAATTTTAACTTCTGCTAAGTTACATTTGGGTGCTTGGAATCCTGCTTGTCTCTGACTGCATGAATTATTTGGGTCTTAGTTTTTTGGGGCATTTTATGTCCTGGTAGCTTAATGTACATGTGGACAGCATAAGGCTCATCCTTCTCCATATTCTGGTAGTTATCTCAGTGGAAGACCTCAGTTCTACATTCCCCTCAAACTTCTTAGAATTTAAACCCACACCACTTGTGTCCTTATACAGTGCCATAATTACCTAGCATGGGACTAACATACCGGTGAGCACCTAACACAACTTTCCTCTTGAAGCAGCCAAGAGGAAGAGTCATGAGGTCAGAAGAAAAGGAAGGAAGAGGGAGATTAAGGCTGGGGCCCAAGGAGGATGGAACCCTGGATTCTGGCCCATTCTTCCAAGGCTGTTTATGCATTTTACCCAATGGCCCTTTAATGCCAAAGGCATTGCAGATACTGGAGCTATACCATTGAAAAGCTATTCTGGATTACATTTTAGTAGGAAGAGGCAGGATCTGGCCCAATTGTATCAATGAAAATGAGAAGGGACTCTGCCCTGCAATGGACACGTTGATCTAAAAATAAATGAATCAACAGTCTTACTCTGACCACTCTACCTTTCCACATAGGATGTGGTTGGATTTGTCACAGGAGAAATAGGATTTCAGGAGATATTTGACAGTAGAAAGAGTCACCTGGTATCCCACAGGCAAGGCAGGACTAAGACAATACTGACTATTGTACTCATTTGGGCTTTCTGATTTTCTGAAAATCAACAATCTTAAGTTTTGCTATAGCCAATCCCCCAAGCTTTGTTTTCTTCTTTCCAAACTCTTTCCCCTTAGGTATGAGTTGGGTCTTCTTGCATGAAGTACTGTAGCAAGGACTGTCAATAAAGCGTTCTAAATAGGTCAGTCTGGCAATCTCTACCCTGAATGCTTTTTAATCAATATTCCTAATAACTCTGAAATGCAAAATGCAGAAACTATTAAAAGCAAGGACTCACTTAACCACTGTGAGGACAACAGCCAACTCCCTGAATCACAGCATCAGGCTCCCTTTTGCTTTTTTCCTTCCGTCCCCAAGATGCTTTGCCTCTAAGCTTCCCAGTGGCCTGCTCTTAATAGAAAGGTGGTCTCACTGTAGCATAGCGATTGGGTTGCTGACCTGTGGTATATGATTCAAATCATCTCAGGCAGAGTGATGTTGGGTAGATGTTCTTTTGCTATGCAAAATGTTGTCATCATCTTCTCCTGCTCTTGCTCCATGATTATAGGTTTTTCTAGTATCAGGCATGGTATGTAGTCCTAGCATGGTCTTTTACAATGCAAAGTTCTCGGGATCTGTGTTTCACCATAATAAAATGGGTCTGGGTCATTAAAGTATTCCAGTTTCCTCATGTTGTAAATTAATCTGATAACTCATCTCCAGGTTGACTAGTCCTAGAATAAGAAAAAAGATGGGATGAATGGATACACATCATTTATTTACAGTTATAGGGGGTTATGCTGAACTTGTTTGCATCTAGGTTGAAGCCAAATTGTAGCAGAATGGAAAAGGACTAAGATGTCTTCCAGGCAGGAATGAATCACATCTGGGCATGTGCAACAGGGACAAATTTAGTTATGTAGTACAGAACTATAGCCACATACCTACAGTTCATGCCATTAAGTGAAGTGAAGTGGAATTTTAGATGGGTAAAAATGGCATGTGACTTTTGTCACTTAATAGGCTTTTGCTACAATATAGAGGATGAGTTACATGCTGGAGAAAGGGAGTTACAAAAACCAGCGTGCACAAACTAGAGAAGGACTATGAAGTTATGAAAATTAATTCTTTTAGCACCAAATGTAAATGAAACATTATGAAACAAATATTTCTTTTAAAAATATACAAAACGAAGTTCTGTGAAAATTGCAGTCAAGTCTGTGAGCTTGGTCCCTAATAGCCATGCAGAATTTCCAGAGGCTTTAAGCTATGTAGTTATCCAACGAATGTTCAGAGCTTGAACCTTTGGCGGTGCATGTCTGTAACCTTGGGTGTTCTTCAGGCTGTGATTTTCTACCTCTATAGATGCAATTTGCTCAAGAAAATTTTCTTAAAATCTCTGTTTTTAATTAATTTGCTCCTTTGATAATTAATTTGCTCCTTTAATTTGAGCTCCTAAGATAATAGATGTAGAAAAATTAAATTTTTAATTAGGTTATGTCACATGAGTTTGGAAAAGTCATCCTCTAATCTTTGTACAAAACAAAACATCCTAACTGCAGCCTTAATGATGGATTCATTACCTGTATTAGAAAATACAGGGATAAAGAAGAAAAATAAGAATAAATAACTATCTATTCTTCTTTGGTGGGGAGCATAGCTCTGAATATGAAATTAATTTTACAGAAAACAGTTCCCAATAATATACTTAAATTTGATTTCAGCATGAGATCTCCCAAACCTGAAAAGAATTATGCACATGGGGAGTGTTATACAATTGAAAAATGTCATTTATTTGATCTGTATAGGTCTTTGCAGGATTAAATGCAGGTTACTTAAAAACATCAGCAAGGGATATAAAGAAAGGAAAATGATGATGCAATTAAAACACTAACAACTGTCATCTTATTCTCTCTGTAAGCAGTTCTCCTGTATCCTATCCCCTTTCTTTAAGAGCCTTATTTTATTAAAAGGCATCGGGCCTTGGTCAACTGTATGGAAATGCAATTAAAGAATAAATCAATTGTTTGAAAATGTCTGTTTGTATTACCAGTTACTAACCAAAATACACTGGTTAATATCTGTGAAAGTGACAAGGCTGCATGTTTTGTGTCATTATTTTCCAGATGGGAGTTAGTGTTGTGGATTCTGCTGTTGCTGGATTAGGTGGTTGCCCCTTTGCAAAGGGTGCTACTGGAAATGTAGCCACTGAAGATGTGATATACATGCTTAATGGTTTGGGGATTAATACGGTACGTTATTTTCATGCTTCTATCAACTTATGCACATTTGTTACCACAAACATAGTGTATTTGAAAAACAGAAGTTGCATTGGCATTGGGATCCATTTGTTTTATCACATAGGAGAAGGGTCATATTTTACATACATTCCTTCAATTTGTAGTTGAAAATCACTGTTGGTAATAGGAGACTGGTGAGGAGTGTAAGCAATCTGCACATTCAGCAGCTGAACAAGCCTTAACATCTCAGAAGGTTGATCCAAAGTTCACCGCTGTCAGTAAGTGTCTCACCATTGATTTCAGTGAACTTATGTCAGTTCAATAGTGCTTGCTCTTGAGTTGTCCCATCCATCTTACCTCAAGCATGAAAGATGCAATTTTATTACTTTTCACAAGGTTTGGGATGGCCACGCAACTTCTTATAACTGCCACTTAGCTAGTTAGCATTCCTTTAAGACATTGCAAAAACAGTCAGCTATTATCTGCAAAAGTAAATTACATAATAATATTATCTCCCTCTGCCTGGAGACTAGTTATAGTATGTATTTTACATGCTGAGTCCCTATTGACTAGGGCAATAGAATCCATAAATTAACATTGTAAGCCAGGTGTCAATCATGGCATAAAAACATAGATACCTGAACAACAATCAGTTGTAGAAAGAGGTTTAAGGTGCTAATTTTGACCAATAAAGACCTAAATGATTTGGAAACTTACCTGCCAATTGCCATTTGTAAAGAAGCTCTTGCTAGTCACCCCCTGGTAAATGAGGGTTGCTCATCTGTTTTTTGTTGTTGTTGGTTTTTTTACCAGAGTTTTTTGACACTAGAACTAATTTCTCTTATAATTTGCTAAAACTGGTTTGGTTCCCCCGCAGAACACACTGTAATATTGTCCACTTCATTAGTTTTTTCAGGGAGAGCTAGGTGATTGTGGATGCTAGTATGTATGGGAGGGTTTAACTGTTACTGTTTATAAAAGGAGTGCACTCTGCGGGGGGATTGCATAATAGACTTCAAATACCTAAAGGGAGATTATAAAGAGAATGGAAATAGCATTTCCTCTGTGGCTGTAGTGGACAGGACTAAGAACAATGATCTCAAATTACAGAAGAGGAAGTTTAGGCTGGTTATTAGGAAGAAATTTACTATGAACAAACTACCTAGAAATGCTGTAGAATCTCCATTCCTGGAAATTTTCAAGGGCAGGTTACACAGACATTTGGCTGGGATAGTTTAGTCATGGATGATCCTGATTTGAACAGAAGGAGTAGACTGTATGACCTCATGAGGTGCCTTCCAACCCTACTTACGATCCTATCTTATGAAGAGATTTGAGATCATTTTGGAGAGGAGTTGTAAGTTGTAGTTTAATGTAATCAAGACCTTTGGAAGGGGAAAGATATTAACTTATTTTCTCATATGCAACATGCACCTCCCCCCACAAATGGAAATTGGAGTGTATATTATAGGTATGGAAATATGGTAAAAGTAATATCTGCTGCTTAGCAGGGAAAAACAAAGGTGAAGTCTGCATGAAATCTATAGGGAGGAGAACAATAAACATGCTCAGCTTCCTAGTTGCTGCAACTTACTTATTTACTGCATTGTGCTACCTATTACTTTCTTCTTCATTCTACCTTTCAAAAACAAGGTACATATGTTATTTTTATCACACATACATCAATAAGTGTATGTGAGTGGAAATAAGGGGATTCAACTGACATAATTTTGGAATTTGACTCCACATACTTGTTAAGCCCTATAAAGAAAAACATCATCATTTCTTTGACAATAGTCTAATACAGTGACTCTCACAATATCCATACTATGGCCCCATATTACAACAGGGCAAAAAATGTTTCCACAGAGCCATAATACGAAACAGGAATGGTCAGGATCACAAGTTGAAAATCATTTTTATGAAAAGGAAAAATGGAAACCTCAAGGTTGTCATGTTAATATATAGAGACCCTGGTCCTTGTCCAGTAAGTATTTATATGAACCCACTTTTGCTCATTACACTAACTGCCTGCTAAGGTTTCCCTACTTTTATGATACCACATAATGAATTTCCATAAAACCAAATGTCTCTGTTTGCATGGAACTGCTTTCTGTTCCTTTCAGCTCTGCCCTCATGCTCTCACATTGTTGACTGAAGTCACGGTTAATGTGAACCAAAAGATAAACTGCTATTTGAGCATTCATTAATACATTCAGAGTAGCTTTGTCCAGCAGAATAATAATTAATTCTGGTTTTATAGCGTTCTTCACAATGATTCATCAAGATAGTGATGTGAAGTAGATCTGTAACAGAGTCCATCTACAAACATGTTGATTGCTACTACAGTGATAAATGGGTACTTCTGTATCATTAGAGCATTAGATTTGTAGGGAGACATACACTTTATGCCAAAATCCCCTTTTGTATGGTTCATATATAATTATAATAATAGTATTTGCATTTGTGATGCTTTCAAAGTGATTAGCAAACATTTATCTACTTCTCAGAAAGGCTTAGTGCCATTACCACCATTTTATAGACAATGAGACCAAAGGTCAGAGAGATTATGTGCTTGATGCTAATGAGTGTGGAATGAGAATTGATTAACTGAAGTCCATGGGAGTTGAAGGAGTGAGTCTTCTTGCAGGTGATTTTGGCTTTTTGTCTTTTTTTCCAAAGTAATACAGACTATGAAAGTATTAAGAGCAGAATCCTACTGACTGGTTGTTTCAAGGCCTTGATGGCTATAGTAAGCAAATTGAGCCCACAATCCCCCTGCATATATGTAGTGGGCATCTAGCATACACATATGCAACTTTCAATGTCTGACCCAAACTCAGGAATATTCTTAAAATTTACACGAGAAATAAAAAGGCAGAAAATTGGAGTCATTAGGCACTACATGCAATGTGTTCATATATTGTATTAACACACATACCTGTGTGTTTCTTATTAACCCATGCAGTACTATGCATTATTCTTTACATTGTTGAACACGTGAATTTTGTGTGTATTCTTGGTCTTTCACTGCAAAGTGACTACCAATTATATTCATGATAGGATGTTTCTTAATTCTCTGATAATACAAGGGCAGCTGGTAAACGGCCTTTTAAGATTATATGTGCAACAGCAGAGACCACAACTAAACTGCTTGTATGCATGTATGCAAGGCCTCTTTGAATTAGGCTAACATAAATTAAGCCCATTTAGGACCCCAAAACTAGGCCTAAATCCTACAAATCAGGGATGTCAAACATACAGTCCACAGGCTGGATCTGGTCTGCTGACCCAGGTCATCTCTCACTGGAGAGCTGGCGGATACCATGGGAAACCCACCCACCCTAGCCAGAGCCCTGGGTTTGGCTGCATTGATGGGGCTCCTGTTTGTGGTACTGAGAGCTGCTGGCTTCCTGGTGAAATCCAGGGTGGTGGTTGCTTTCATAGGAAGCCCTGTCTGGCTTCACTGGTGGGGTTTCCCCTGTGGTGCTTCTGGGGCTGCCAGCAATTACTGGGATGTGGGCTGCTACCACTGGACCCTGTGGTGCTGCTTGGGGTGCCAGTGCCTGACTTGCTAGGATGCTGACTGCCATCCTGGGAAGCCCCACCACTATACTCCAGCCACAGTGAAAAGGCTCCTGTCTGCAATGCTGGTAGAGATGCAGGCGCCCCCGCAAAAAAAGCTGGGGTTCCCACTGTGTCTGCAGGAAGCACCACTACCCTGGCTGTGGTGGCACATCCTCTGACCACAGTATTGCTGACCTCACTCTGGTTGTGGTGCCAGAGTCTCTGCCTACTGTGTTGCTCAGGTTGCCCATGCCTCAGCTTTCAGTGGGGCACTGTTTGCCACTGCAGGAAGCCTGGACAAAGCCCTAGAGCTCCAATTCTGGCCATGGTGGTGCAGGGTCCCTTACATGCCTACACACATACCGTGCCTCTGCAGGCTTGCTCTCTCTCTCTGGCACACACACATACACACGCACTCACTCTCTCTCTCTCTCTCTGTTTCTGAAGGGTTGGGGTGCTATCTACCCTTCAACCAGTTTGAGCTTGACACCTCTACCTCAGGAGGCTTGATCCAGTAGGCATGCTCAGAGCACACTTACTGCATGCTGAAAATGTAGAAAACATAGATGCAACTGCTTTCCCTTTAAGCAAGGCCATGAACAGAAGACATGGTGGCAATACTTACTTTTTATTTCATAACCTTATGGTGAGTGGGAGAGAGGTGTAAGTGCACAAGAGGAAACATAACCTTAGGATACTTGATAAGGAACACATGGTGTCTTCTCAAAGCACAATGTATGCATTGCACATGAAAAAGTTTATTAGATAAAATGCAAAATGTGTTCTGCCATCAGAGACCAGAACTAGAATGTCCTCCTCCAAGATGAATGTCATGATGTCTGGGCTACAGAGGCATGCGCCTTCTGTGCTTCCTGTCTTTGGCTCAATGGCTCTTGCACTTGCTGCTTCACAGTGGCCTTCAACAGGAGGGCTGCAGTGTACTTCTGCTCAGAACAGTCCATATCCCAGTGGTAGAATGTTCTCCTGAGGGTGGGTTTGAGCCTCTGCAGGCTGAATGAGAAATTTAGCCCAGGTCTCACACTTCCTGTGTGAGTACTTTTACCAATGAGGTTATTACACAATGTATCGGCACCAACACACTAGGTTGGTGCTGCCTGTGACAACTACATAAACAAATTCTTGATTTTACTTTAAGTGCTAGGTGTTTAACTCCTTTTTGGGTCTAGCTCCAGTAGCTTAATTAGGGGTGGGAGAAAGGGGCACAGGTCCTGGTGCCAACTGAGGAGGGACCCCCATACCCCAACTGCAAGAGTAGCCCCATGTCATTGCTCTTGCAGCAGCAGCTGAGCTCATGGACACTATGCTGTTGCTGCTTTAAAAATAAGAGCTGAGGTGAGCACAGCATGTGGCAATGGCAGAAGCAACAGCAGTGCAGCTGGGGACTGTTTGAGTTTTAGCCCCCCGGCCCCTTCTTTCAAAACTGTGCCCCCCAGCTTTCCTGCAAGCACAAGCCCTGCTTGTTATGCCTTTGTCTAAGTCTGAAACTTAACAGGGTGTGAATGTTGCATGAGAAAGGTAAGTTAGCAGGAAGCCTTTTTCTTTTTGGTCAGGAACCTTATTCCACTGATCACTCAGCTGTGATTCTGTACCTGGATGCAATAGTAATCTAAATTGTACTTTTCTACTGGAGTGATGGTCTCCATGGAAGAGCTGAAATTCATTATATTGGTACAAATACAACTTTCTAATTGCTATCAATAATCGGTTATTTGGTAAATCCATCTAGTTTTCCTGATCTGTCAATGTGAATTTTTTACAAACATAGTTGCATGCATTATGTAGCTATTATATTTCAAATGTCTGAAGTGTTGAGATATATTACTAACCCACTTCCTCCACTCTTGTGAAAATTACAAACCTTAGATAAGCTCAAGAGTGGCATAATCAGTTTCAATATGTATATTTTTATGCTGTCATTAAATTAACATCTTTTTCCCCTTCATGTTTTAGGGAGTGAATCTTTATAAGGTGATAGAAGCTGGGAACTTCATCTGCACAGCTTTAAACAGGAAAACAAATTCTAAAGTTGCACAAGCTTCCTCTGTTTTTGAACTGTAAATGAGGGGTTCCTTTCTGCCAATTAATTGCTCTTGTCATATCTCTTGCCTAAGAACATTTGCAAAAGGAAAATCAATTGTAAGACCATTTCAGTACAGGAAAAATAGAACCAAGGCACAGAATCTTATTATGGAAAAGATAGCTGCATGTGAATATAATTTAATGTCTTGTCATATGTTCTCTTTGGGAAACAACACAACATTGCAAACAAGAAATAAATTGTCCTTCAATACAAACTCATTCTCGATGCTTTTAAGATGAAAAAAAGATATATTTTAATATATTTATATATACTTCTGGGCATCTTACTGTTTAATTAAATAGCCTTTTAGCTCACTTGATTGATTACAGAGGTCCAGAACAAGTGAATACATTGTTAATTTTTAATCAAGCTGACTTTTAGTTTAGTACAAATATTTGCAGTAGTTTATGAGATCCCACATTGTGTGTGGTCTTGCCATAATGAGTTTTATTTCCTTGCATCTCTGCACTTTATTTGCCAAGTCAATTGTGTTATGAACATGAGAACCAAATCCAAATATGCCATAGAAGGTTTTAATAATAACACTTTTGTATTTTTACTGTGGTTAACATCTGTTAAGAATATGAATGTCTTTATCTAGCTCCAAGAGTTTGTGGTGAATGGCAGTATGCCATATACAATCTATTGCAATCTCCCTTATTTGTTACATACATTAAATTGACTATAATTGCCTCTTTCAACACTTATATTAAAAATCCAATCAGGTAGTTAGCTGAAATTGGCATTTACATGCAATATTTAGCATAATATGGTGGGATGTTTGGATTTTTGTGCAATGGCCACATCTACCAGTTTCACATTTTCATCTATAATCTAGATTATCATTTATCACTTAGAATAAAAACACTATTTGTAAGGATGTTGAAGACCATGCCTGACTAGCTTACGCAGAGAGAATCATCTATAATTAAGCTCAAAAGGGATGATATTGTATCTTACAATGCTTGTGTGTAATAAGCTATGTGAATTACTACACATAGCTAAGTAGTGAACAATTTAAATAGGAGTCTTCTTAATTCTATATTCAAATAATCTGTGACAATGCTATAAAGTTTCAGGCTGAATCTTTAGTATTTTTTTATCTGTTGGTTTTTTGAAGCCCAACTCTGCCAAGTTACGGTTGAATCTTAGGCTGACTTTAAAAATCCCAAATCAGCTTTTCTTATCCTGTACACCTGGATTGCAGTTTAGGATGGGTGTAGCTAGAGACTCAAATCAAGTTTACCCAGTAACTCAGAAATGCAGACTAAGCACATTCAATCTGCACTGTGATAACAGTAAAAATACCATCCAAATTATACATTTCCAGTCTGCCATTCTCAAGGGGCAAATAATGAGAAATGGAGACTGCTGATCAGACATGAGAGTATTCATGATTCTATGGCCTAGTGGTTAGGGTACCCACCTGGGGCAAGGAGTCAGGTTTCTAATTCTTGCTCTAGTGAATATTTCATGAAAAATAGGAATATATCAGTGGTACAGGATATGGACCCCATATCTTCCACTTCAGTGGAACATGCTGTCCCTTATTCTCCATCCTTAGAATTAATATACCCTATAACAGTAATTTTCAACTTTTTGCATTCACAGACCCCTAAAAAACTTGAATGAAGGTGAATTGTAAGTATGAGTATTCACATACTCTTGACTGATCATAGTAATTTTTTGTGGACCTCTTAGATATAGTCTGTGGACCACAGGTTGAAAACCACTGTTATATAAGACAAATGGAATACTTCCACGACAGAGATTGAGAGGGCACTGTTATCACCTCAAAATATTCTTCAGCTTGGTTGGTAGGGCATTTTCATGGGAAATGTAAGTTCAAATGTCGTCAGAGAGGAAAAAAGTGAATTTGAATCTATTAGTAGGTAAGTGCTCTGTAACCAGAAGATAAGGCTAAAGTCCTGGAGTCAGAAACTGGAAACCGTAAAACAAGCCAGTGTCAGGAACTGGAATCCTGAATCTGAGAGATGATCAAAGTCAAGAAACAGGGAGAAAACAGTAAGGCCAGAACCCAGAGCCCAAGAAGCCAAACTATGTAATGGGAGCCAAAGAGCTGGAGCTTCTTACAGACTAGAAGCCTGATATGTTGCACAGCATTAATTGGTACTAGGATGGAGCCAAATGGATGACTAACAAAGGCTGCCTTTCTCTGAACCCAGCTGAGACAGCTACTTGTTCAATTGGGAATCAAGGACTTTAACTTTACACCCAAATCCAATGTTGTGACTCAAAACATCCCTGCTCAGCTGCCACTTATACTACAAGCAACTAAATTTACTAAGTGACTTCTAGTTTGAGTTAAAAATTCTCTTGGTGCCTTATTTTCTATTTCTCTTAAAAACTGACCCTGTCTAGCTTATAGTTTCATAGTTTCTAGGGTCGGAAGGGAC